AATCAGTACGTCGGCAAGTAGGGCGACCGGTGTGTGGCTTGAAAGGATATGTGACAAGATAGCTGGCTGATGATCGACTACTCCAGGGACGATTTTCGACCTATTTCGTTCTATTCTGGCTATCATGTTTGTTTCATTGAAACGGGGAAGCCGATCGTTGTACAAACTGACCGAACATGGAAAACTATTTGATTTTTCATAAAATTCCTAGTTCAACCACTCAGTCCTATAAACCAGAAGCACCGTACTGGTGTTTCGATCTGATTAGAGCTCATCAGTGGTGCATATTCACCGACCTATCCAAGGTTTGAATATCACGCTCCTCGCATGTAATTATTTATAGTATTATTGAAGTTCATATTTAAAAATGATGAATTGAAGCACTGGTGCTCTAGGAATGCTGAAAACACCTTTAGTAGGCTAGATGTGCGACCGAAAAGGGCACCTCTAGCATGGCTCCCAATACACAGAACACAATAGAACGGCAGGCAATTTGTGTTGGGTGATCGTGGTACGACACGCGTCGACAACGCGTAAAGTGAACACATGAGAAGGACGGCCCGACACCAATCAGATTGCAACCTAGACTCTCCGATTGGTCGCTCGGACAACCGTTGTGTGATTCGTTCATTCCATACGGACTTGATTTGTCACTGATGCTACGAATGTTCCTATGGCGTGGCGGGACTTGATGAATTCTGTGAGCGCCGTTCTAAGACTTTGAAATGACTGAGTGTATAAATGACTCACTCAAAACCGTAGCCAGACAAATTTAGGACCATGTGTTGACATATTCCTCATAATGCGGTTGACAGTTAAGGAAGCGTTCATTGTTCGAAAACTTCTTATCGGTTCACATTCAGCTCACCCAACGAATATTGTCTTTTCTAAGTGATGAATTTGTCGTGCAGATGACGCGTGAACTGAAAATTTAGGGAGGAGGGGGGGACTGGACATTGTCATTTTGTCTATAAACGATATAGCAAAGCCTACGCTTGTGCGCCTAATGCGGGCATCACAGATCTCATCAGAAGCCTCCGAAGTTATTCCTCGGTTGGAAATTTTCCGAAAATACTTACACTCTGCGTTTCTTTTCTATCCTAGTTCATTTTTTTATCGATAAATTTGTGAAACAGAGAAATTGAATTTATTCATACCACCCCCGATGCAAAGAAAACGACCAAATCAATGTTGGTTAAAATTGCAAATGGAAACAGCTCAAATTATCTTTGACGCCGACAACACTGCGTACTAGTGATTCTATTGTCCGGAAAAGCTGCATTCACTCAAATGTAGACTTTTCAGCAATATTTTTGTTTCTAATGTTTGTGGATATTTGACTACACCCCTTACGCCCTCTTTGCGAGTGCTTTATTTCACTTATCACACAATTTGCCGAATAAATTGAAGTTAACATGCGCAGCTAGCGTCCAGAAGATCACCCCGGCACATTCAATACAACCGACTATGATGTGAAAAACATTTCGGCAGTAGATGGTCTGTTGAACAGTTTTGTGTACGGAGACGGGCGGTCGCAGAGGAAGAGCAAGCTGTCTGATGACATTGCAGAATGTGACATGAATAGTTACAGTTTCAGTTTGAACAACCATTAAGCATGCAATTCCGTGCGACGCTTTTCGTTGCTGTCTTTTAACTACCCATTTGGATGAACAGTAGGAGAAAGACAGGAAACGTGGAAAGTAGGATCAAAGAGAAAATTGAGAAGTTCGGTGGATTAATGATGCAAAGAAATTGAGAAGATGCACGAACGCCACTGTTTACGACACCAGGCCATATCACTAAGTGTCTCTAACCATCGGTTACGATCATCCTGAGGTCCTCATCCAGGGAGCCTAACATGACCTATGTGACCCACACTCCTGGTTAAGGTTTTCTTAACCTCATGTCAGGTCTTAGCTTGACCATCCTTGGCTTTATTCCACCCACTACCTGCCTCGGCGAACATCGTTAGCCATGGCAACCTATCTGGTGATATGCGTAACACATGCCCCAACCAACGTAATCTATGGAGGTCGACTACTTGCTGCAGTGGACAACCGCGACTACCTAAAACTTTTCGCCTGACCTCAGTATTGCTCGTCCGGTTACCCCACCATTTTCTTGCAATGCTGCGTAGACAGCGATGTTCAAAAACCGACAGTCTATCTTTATCCTGTTTCTTTAATGACCAAGCTTCTACG